TAGGATTTGTGACCGAATGGTTGCAGGTTCGAGACCCGAATTGTGTGCCGAGTTCTTGTGTCCTTGAATAAGACACTTTATCCCTGTATTCCAGTCTACCTACCTGTAAATGGGTACCAGTAGGATGGTGTATGTATTATACAAAAAACTGTTGCGCTCCTTGAAGCAGCATATGTTGGGGCTCTTTCTAAGAATTCAGGGGTAAAGGGAGGTAATCAGGCTTTACCTGTATCCTAGAGACCGGGATAATAATTGTGTAGCGCTTTGAGCATAAACTTGGTTTATGGATATAGCGCATTATAAATATACTCATTATTATTTAATCGTTTACTATTTATTACAAATATCGAATCCTAATTAAATTCTCAGATTATCAACTTACCGCGTCCTTTTCCGTCATTTTTATCTCAGAAAGTGTTGTACGTCTAACTCTTCATAAAGTTTATCAACTTGTACATCAAGCGCTCAATGTTCTCGTGTGACCTTTGACATCACGCGTGCAGAAATTTCTAATCATTGGGCTGTCGATTAGGGGAACCTTTACATTTTTGTCCTGTATGCGCTCCATGAGTGTTTTTCGGGGAATCCAGTATTTTTCTAGTAAGATTGGATATCTCTACTTTCCATATATACCAAAATTGCCATACTTTAATTGGAGATAACCACCCGATAAATACTTTTCTGGGAACCCATCTTTAAATGGAAGCAGAATAAATCCTTAAAAAAAATCTCGAAGTTTACTTTGTGTTTTCGACTAAAATCGTCGATTTAGGACTTAAAATGTTGGTCATCTAACTGTAGACAGACAACCTAAGTTTAGTTTGAGTAATTTATTCTGGAATATTATGGACGTGAACTTAAAGATGGTACGTGAATTAAATATGGAAAATTTTCAAAAGGTGTACCTGTCGTTTTTTTGTTTTTTTTGTGGTAATCACATACGGTACATTAAAATGCGATATTTTCCATAACAAATTACCAAGAATTATTTTTATTGAAGTCTAGTTATATTAAAGAGAATGGAGCTTATAATTAACCCATATCCTACGGGACCTCAATTGACCCAATTCTGGCCGGTTCGTTTCAAAATGGATTAAGAACCCTGATGCTTACCCATCTCGAAACAGAATGTAGTTTGAGATTGTTTTGGGCATAATTCTTGATGTCACCATGTCGCGATACGTATCGCGTATCGGTTTGCCGTATCGTCAATATGTATCGTATCGAAAATGAACAGTATCGACACAGCCCTAGTAGTAGGCTACATGTACCTATTGTTTACACGGGGGCCATGCAAGTCGTCCACAAGCAAAGTCGTCCACAGTGAAGTCGTCCACACCAGTTGGTGGAGTCGTCTACAGTCAAGGCATTGGTGATGTCGTCCACAACTAAGAATATGACTCGTACACAATTTAATTGTATGGAAGAAATAGCTAGTTTTGTTATTTGATTTCAGATCGAATCACTGATTTTTTGTAATAAAGTTATTTGTATTGTTTGATTATTGTATGATCATTGTTTTGATGTTAGATCGGCATTATGATTTTAGTCTGTTTTGTTATTTTGTGCTTCACCGATGTTTTTGCAATGAAGTATAATAGTATTGTTTGTTAATTGGCATTATGATTTTAGCATTTTTATACGCCCACATTGAAATGTGGACTTATATTGCCGTCGCCCCCATCCGTCCGTCCATCGTCCACAATTTCTTGTGAACGCTCTAACGCCGAAAGTTATCATCCAATTGTTTTAAAATTGATATATGTTGTTTCCATTAGTGAAATGAAGAAGCCTATTTAATTTCAATAATTTACGTCTAGAGTTATGGCCCTTGTTTCACTTTGTTGAACCATGTGAACGCTCTAATGCCAAAAGTTAACATACGATGTTTGTGAAATTTATATGCAATATTTAAGTTAGTGAAACGAAGAAGCCTATTGAATTTCAACAATTTCTGTTTATTATGTCTAGAGTTATGGCCCTTGTTTCACTTTATTGAACCTTGTGAACGCTCCAACGCCAAAAGTTATCACCCAATCTTATATGCATTATTTAGATTTGTGAAACGAAGAAGCCTATTGAATTTCAGCAATTTCCGTTAATATGTCCCTTTGTTTCACTTTATTGATCCTTGTGAACGCTCTAACACCAAGAGTTATCACCCGATCTTTGTGAAATTCATATGCATGATTTAAATAAGTGAAACGAAAAAGCCTATTGAATTTCAGCAATTTACAATAATTACTTCTAGAGATTTTGCCCTTGTTTCACTTTGTTAAACCTTGTTAATGCTCGATTGATGAAAGTTATCATCCAATATGTATGAAATTTATATATTAAATTTGTGAAATTTCAGCAATTTCCGTCAATAATTTCTCGAGTTATGGCGATTGTGAACGTTTGAATGACAAAAGTGATCATGTGATCTGTATGAAATTTATATGCATTATTTAAATTAGTAAGACGAAAAAGCCTGTCGAATTTCAACAATTTCTGTAGATTACTTCCAGAGTTGAGACCCTTGTTTCAGTTTGTAGAACCTTGTAAACCCTCAAACGACAAAATTTATAATCTGATCTGTATGGAACTGTCTTGTAAAGGCCCCCAATTACCTACAAAGCAATAAATATGCGACAACCCTTGTCGACCGCTCGTACGATTTAGCTGCTGTTGGCGTATGTTTTGTTGCCTGGCAACCTATGTTTGATTGTTGTTTTTGTAATAAAGTATATTCAAATTTTGTAATGAAGTATTCTTGTATTCTTTGTTAATTGGCGTTATGTTAGCATTTTTGATTGTTTGATTAACAATATTTTTGTAGTAAAGTATTGATTGTTATTTGGCGTTATGATTTTAGCTACAATTTGTCTGAAGATTAAACAGCCCCCCCCCCCCCCTTGAAGATTAGCTAAATTTAACCCACTGTCATATTAATTGCAAAACGGCTTCATATTAAATTTGGGTATATATTTACCGTAAAATTTAACATTCATTACCTTCATTAGTTCTTACTGATATACATGTATATCATAAGCTCTATTTGAAATCTAATTATTTATCTATACTAATATTTGTGACTGTCGTTTGTCTGTCTGTTCGGGGTTGGTGGCTACACTAGGTTTGCCCCGAGTCTGAAATTTGGGGTATAGGGGTAGCTCGGACCGGGGAGTAACATAGGCCAGGTGGCGTTAGTCTTCCGGTTTCGGAGTTATGACCCCCGAGCGAAGCCGGGTATCCTGCTAGTTACTGATTAAACTTCTACATGACGAATAAAAAACTGCAGAGCTACAGCAAAGATTGGTTTCGGAAAACAAATTAAAGCGACGACAGAGGAAGAAATCTGAGACGACAGCAGGGAAAAATGTTAAAATATGGGAATTATATGAACGGGGAAAAAAGTGTATCAGGGCTTTTAAAGGATGTGGGTCGTTTGGTAGCGGTGTAGGTATGGGGCGCCGTTTGTAAATTAATTATTTAGCTTTTTATATAGCAAAAAAACACTAGATTTAATTTAAATTTATATATATAGTTAAATCTCGACTTTTGTGCAAATTTTTCACTTTTAATATTTAAACTAAAAATACAACAAAAACTCAATATTTAACATAATATATATATATATATATAAATATTTCTTGATTTGTCTCTATTTTCATATTTAACATTTAGCATTGAATATTAAGACCAAAACAAGAGATTTGATGATATATAAATATTTAGCTAAATATTTAGTTAAATGTTTAAACATTTAGCTAAATATATATTTAGTTTAAATGTTAGAATATTTAGTTAAACATTTATATATTTAGTTAAACATTTATATATTTAGTTAAACATTTATATATTTAGCTAAATAATATATATACATTACTAAAAATACCCAAATTTTCAACAATATTTTATTGTCAAGTTCAATACTTGCTGATGAAACAACACAAAATAGAACAAGTAGTGTGCATTTTTTATTTGTGGTCTCATCAATTGCCGATCAATAAAATAAAACAAAGGACAATTATCAACCTCACATAAAACTGAAAAAAAAACAGCTGTTATAAATATATGTCACACAAATTTTTAACAGTATTTTAATTATTCATCTGAGTCCGAAACGTTGCCAGAACAAGTCCGAAAAGTCGTTTGAAAAGTAAGTCAGAACCGTCGTCAAACTGAGTTTGAAAGGTTATCTGCGTTGAGTCCGAAATGACACAGGTGCAAAATGTTGTGCTACCATATAAACATGTAGAGAGACTCAGTAAATTATAGGAGATTTTTAAACCAAGAACTGGATACACTTGGTAATCTTCATGTTCTTAGGGTGACACTTTTCCAAAAAAAAAAGCCTGAGGTTTTCCAATTCCAGTATGATGGACATAAAAATTGGCATGCTTGTTTTTGAACAACTGTGTATCAATTGATATTTTTGATATGATGGCAGCCAATTCCTAGTTCATATAGTACATGTATGCTCATACTTGTTTTATACTCAGCCGTAATGTGAGTATTGTATGATAGCTAATGAAAAGTGAATGTGTAGTGATAAATCTCTGTGTACAGGTATATCTCTCAAGTAAATTGAGAGAGAGAAATGGGACTAACATATGGTTCAATTTTATTTTAATAATTTGCTTGCACATAGGGGTCTTTAGCAGTGGGAGGAAACCGGAGCACCCGGTGAAAACCCACGAAATTGGACAGGCGACCCTACTCCTTGCCACGTACAACTGGGGAATCAAAACCACGCCAGTTGACTCAATGACAGACCTTATGTTACAACACGCACATACTAACCATTCGGCCATCCTCCCCTCCAGTAAACTGATCATATATTCCTTCACTTATTTGAGTCTTAATGGGTTTTAGTAATCACCAACCCGACTTGGCCATTTTGGAACATAAAGCAGGTGCCTTTGCTTTTGCGGGGATTTGATACTGCCAATACTAATTTGAAACTGACAGTTCAGAACTATTCAAACCACTGTTTCTTTCTTTTCTTTTTACAGCAGCCAATGAAGGCTCCATCTGCTGTGGCTACTGTTGTTACTGGAGAATCAATATTTCATGATGTAAGTACATGTACTCGTTACACACATACATGTATACAAAGAAAACAATGTATTTGAAAAACAAAAATGATTATGTACAAATTTTAAAATAATGACCTCCAGTGTTTTAATTATTATCATTTTGTTGGATTTAGATTTAAATGTGGGGAGTGGGGCATGCCCCTTGAGTCTGATTAGTTTAATAGGAAGATTAAACCCAATCTTTCAGGAAATGTATTATCAAGTAGGAGATATTGTATCACTAGTAGACCATGGCAGTCAAGTTTATTATGCACAGCTGAGAGGTTTCTTAAAAGATCAATACAACGAAAAGAGTGCAGTCATAACATGGCTTCTACCAACCCTGTCTAGCCCTACAGATAGATTTGATCCTTCCACGTATATTTTAGGTAAGTTTAGGTAAAAAATATTTCAAATATGGTATGCTTGACGTGTAAGCTTACTGTAGCACAATTATAGACAAGAATTCAATAATCTTATTGCCTCCCATTTCTTTTGTAGTCTTTATGAAACACTCTGCTAGAGATCTTTTCAAAATCCTAACTTTTTATTTTGAGAATAAGTCGTTAAAGGGACAGTGTCACTCTTGCTGGTTTGACAGCTTCAAAAGATAAAAAAATAGCTTTATTCTAAGTACTAGATGTGTTAGTGTCTTACCTGTTGTGTAAATTATCCATTAAATCCTATTTTACTTGTCCAGAGGGTTCGAAAATATTTTAAAATCCAAGTCACATTAGGCTAAGGTTACATTAGGCTTTTCAAATCATTTAAGAGCCATGTCTATCAAGGGAGGCAATAAGCTCCAGATTTGATTGACTTCCTGTTCTAAGAATAGCTTTCCGTGATGTCATCACCGGGATATCCCATGCCTGTGGCGCTATTGTCAGTATTGTCCCAAATAATAATAAATACATAAGATCAGCAGAAATGGGGGTTAAAATGACTTGGATTATCATACAATTAATTCAAGTTGATTAATGACATTCTATAGACAGTCCGTCCGCAGATAATCTGCTTGTATTGTTTACAGATATATACTATAGCCTATAACACGCTGAAGTCAATATCATCTACACGACTACAGGTTTGAGTTCGACATTGATTGACAAGTGTTGATTTTTTTCTGTGGATTGACAAGTCGGATGTAATATTTAAGTCACACGTGTAATAATTAGTAGATCGTTTCGGCTAAGAAGCGCAAACAAGCAGGATATCAGAGAGATGGTCGTAAACAAATGTGAATTTGGGAACAGAGCAGATTAGGTGGGAAGAATTGAAGGACTAATATTAATATAAGCTGAACATAGAAAGCTGTGAGGAATTGGCAACCACCCAAACTGTTATATATGATAATACAGGTAATTTGCAAAAAAAAAAAAATGTTATCAGTGAAAACCAAATTCAACCTATTCTTATAAGCTTATTTTTTGCCATGGGAAAACATCATTTTTTAAAAAACATTAATTGTTTATAATGTTTGTGAAAGACGCAAAATATTGTTTCTATTCTTTTGCAATTCAAGGGCTGATCTAGTGGGGTACGCACCAGATTCTTGTTTCAGATGACTGAAAATAGCATTTCCAGGCTTCTAGTTTTCGAAATTTTCTGAAGAGGCCACCCTTTGTTGTCTGAGTGCACCCTTTATTCATGGTCTTTGTAATTTGTAATTTTCCATTTTTATTCCTTATTGTTGACTTTCTTTTAATCGAGTTGGTTAAATAGATCATATGAGCTAATGTTTATATCAAGTTGGTTAAATAGATCATTTGAGCTAATGTTTATATAAGTAAGCTGCATTTAAATTATGACAGGATGAGGCTGATAACCCAAAGTTTGTCAGTTTGATGATCATCATTTCAATGCTTTCACTTCAGTTTGCAAATATCTCAGCATTAACTGAAAACAGGGCTTTTACTTGTTTTTCTAAGGACTGTTAAACATACATTATGCAAGAGCTAAATCTGATTATTGCAAGTCTTAATTTAGGCTTCAGATGTCATAGAAATTATAAATTAGATCTTTATTTACACAACAAGCACAAAATCAACTCTGTAAACCCACGGATGGCTTGGATTCAGCTTGGATTTAAATAGGATTTCGTTGATTGATTAAATTTTTAAATGGCGTCGTAAGCGGAGATTAACCGTTAAGTTGACGTCATACTCCCGAAAATAATTTTAGATCGAGGCTAAATGATAGATTGTACGAAGCGAGACCGCTGTTGAGCGAGGCCGCATGTCAGTCAATTTGATTGAAAGTTCGATATACATGTATACGGCCTTGATATTATGTTTAGTTGTGGTTAAAATGAGAGTTTGGATGTCGGTATTATAGGCTACGCTCTTTTGTCACTTGCGTTTTCAGAAAAATTATAGAAATTGATAAACATCGCAGCTAACATCACCCCAGTTGAATTGCAGCTCCATTGGATGACTGTTCGGGAGTTACGCAGGCCTACCAGTTACAGTACAAGAGTACACGCAGGCTAACAATATGCCTCATTGATTTGGTCCATTCCTTTCAAACTTTCGCTTATTATCTATATATTAAAATTCTTATTTTTTTAATTTGTAGTAAAAATAAATGTGATACGAATTGAATTGCAACCCCGTCTCAAACCACAGCCATTGAAAACGTTACTTGATAATCAAGATTATGTAGGTGGAGTTTTCGCCTGTCAATCAAACGATCGTCTATTCTCGGAGACGGTGAAGAGAGAATTGACTCCCATTTCTAGTCAAAAATTACAATAGTAATAACTTTGTTCAGAATAAAGTAATTTGACTGAAATTTTCAATATATTCTTCTTTCATCTATTTTTGAACTGTTATAGCAAGAATGGCCAACTCTCTATTAAAATCTCCCATAATGTATCTTTAAGCATGTCGTACAATAATTAAGCCCCAAAACAATAACTCTTTCAGGTACCACAGAAAATAATTTTAAGAGGGCATCAAACTGGGCTTTTGAACCAATGAAAGGAGCCAAGCATTATGACTTCATGTTATCCTTGCTCTATAATATGGTGAAGGGCCCTGGACCAGATGCCAGTCAAATCTACAAACCTTAGCCTCAGCATATCACAGCACTGATTGCAACGCAGACCAGACTGTGCACGCTCGCGATATTATGGTTTCCCCACACTAACCCCATGAAATTTTACCTTGGAAGCTACCCTGCATAAGGCAACGTGTCTTTATTTAAGAAAACAAAATCGAATAGGCCTACTGATTATTGATCTCACATCTCCTACCCATACTGGTCTAAGCCTACTATGTGGCTTTTCTGGCAAATTCTTAGGAAACACTTGTCTGCAATATCACCCTAGGTGGAAACCGGCATTAAACCTAAAGCCCCCTCCCCATTTAGGATGGAGTTTAAAGGCAAATCATGAAGGAAAAGACCACTGGGTGGGGCTGACCTCTGAAAGATTGCTGGGACCTTTGCTAAAACCAAGCCTTAACCAACTTCAGAAATAGCCAAAAAAGAGAACCAGATTAAGAATTTTTTTGGTCCCCCAAAGAAAGCAGGGGACTATTAAAATGGGTTTGTCCGTCCGTCTGTCACACATTTTGGGACACAATAACTCTCCTAATTGAGCTAGAAAGTTCAAACTTGGTGTAGGGGTTTATTGGGTCAATGCCTTGATGGAGTTCGAAGATGAGCATTTTCTGCTTAGGGTAAGCAGAGATAAGCAATTTGATTGGTTGTTGCTTTGGGTCACAATAACTTTAGTTCAAACTAAGCAAGAGTGATGAAACTGGGTGTATAGTTTCATTACATCAATACCTTGACTAAGTTCAATAATGAGCATTTTCTGCTCAGGGTAAGCAGAGCAATAAGCAATTTGATTTGTCGAGACTTTGGAACACAATAACTCTCATTCTTATATAGCTAGAATGTTTAAACTTGGTGTATATGTTTATTAGGTGAATTTCATTATGGAGTTCGAAGATGAGAATTTTCTGCTTAGGGTATGCAGAGATAAGCAATTTGATTGGTTGATGCTTTTGGCCACGATAACTTTAGTTCTAATGAAGTGAGAGTGAGGAAACTTGGTGTATAGTTTTATCACATCAATACCTTGACTAAGTCCGATAATGAGCATTTTCTGCTCAGGGTAAGCAGAGCGATAAGAAATTTGATTGGCTGAGACTTTGGAACACAATAACTCTCTTTCTAATTGAGCTAGAATGTTCAAACTTGGTGTAGGTGTTTATTAGATCAATGCCTTGTTGGAGTTCGAAGATGAGCATTTTCTGCTTAGGGTACGTAGAGAAAAGCAATTTGATTGGTTAAAGCTTTGGGACACAATAACTTTAGTTCTAATTAAAGATGCATTCCCGGGTACAAACTGGGTGATTTGATGATATATTTGGACTAAAAACATATTCAAACTAATTAATTTATCATAATTTTGCTTCAAATCCTTCTCAAAACACTGCAATTGTCGGGGAATACCCTGGCTATAAAAAAATAGATCAAAATAGGTCATGACTTGCCTCTCTCGGTACTTAGCAACGTAGTCGGAGGAGAATTCATTGCATACACAAGACGATGTTGTCTTTAATCGCTGACTATTTATTACAAATATCGAAGCCTAATCAAATTACTGGATTATCCACTGCCCGCGACTTTTTCCGTGATTTTTATCTTAGAAAGTGTTGTACGTCTAATTCTTCATAAGGTTTATCAACATGTACATCAATCTCTGCGTGCAACCTTCAATGTCACGCATGCAGACACTCCTAATCGTCGGGCTGTCAATTAGGGAAACCCTTACATTATTGTCCTGTATGCGCTCCATGAGTGTTTTTCATGGAATCCAGTATTTTTCTTGTAAGATTGGATATTTCTACTTTCCATATACAGTACTGGACAAATTAATAGCAACAACTTCATAATTGCGGAGAAAATGGAGTCTTTAAGAATGAACTGTTGATCAAATGATGACGTTTGAACATATTCGCGTGAAATTTTGCCCACATGGTCTCACTCTTTGCACTGAATGTATGATCGACGTCGTTCATGACTTCATGACGTCATCCCGGCTGATGACGTCATTAACAACCACAATGATGTTTTTTGCAGTTTTTGAACATGAGCATTATAGAAATATTATAAGTTAGAAATACCAAGTAACACTTGGGTGGTAGTCAACTCTGATGTGATGACATGACCTATTTCTAATATTTGGTCTGTCCTTCTTCAGTTTTTATCAAGGCATCCACGCGTCGTGGCATTCCCTGAATCAGACTCTCGCACTGTCTTTTGATAGTGTCAGAATGGAACCAGACCTTGATTAGGCGGGCTATCAAGTCCACTTTATTTGTTATGGGGACGTCATGTATTTCGATTGGTGACATGTTGGGTGAATTGCCCGGCCAAT